ATATATATATAGAGCAAGGACAACTTAACTGTAACGCTATTATTTGACTATAAAATAGAATAAATGATTTTTTGCATCTAAATGGACAACAAAAAGGAGTTGGAAAAATGCAATTAAATTCAGCATGTTGGCATGTTTCACAGATAATCACAGAATAACAAAACACAACTGGTCTAGACCAGGGATCGGCAAAATCCAGCCCGTGACCACCTGTCTGCATAAACAAAATTTTATTGGAACACAACTATGTCCATTTGTTTACTTATTAGCCGCTTTCGTGAGTCAATGGGAAAGTAAAAACAATTGCAATGGGGACTATTTGCCCTGCAAGCCTAGAATACTGTTACTATTCTGGCCCTTTACCATGAAACGTTTGCTGACTCCTGGTCTAGAAAATGAAAAAGATTAAATCATATTTTTGTTCCAGGCAGGTGGGATTAAATCATTCTGAAAGGTGAATTCACATATTCGACCATCACAGCAGCTGAGCGCCAACTATTCAGCTGGGATTCCTCTGACCTACTAGATTAGTAGGCTGATATTCTAATCTAGCCATGAAATTGTGAAGCTGGTCAACTGATTTATTTTGAATATCTTGATGAGAGCTGAGATAAGACAGGGGTACATCTGATTTCTTAAGAAATAATCAGACATCAAATTTCCTAACTCCTTCCTTAGGAATGTGGACTGAATCACCTTGTCACTGCTCAGTGGTGGTGGCCTTTGAATGTTACTCCACGATTCAAGATGTACCATTTCCACCTCCTACTTGCCTCTCCTGAATGCATTCATAGACACTAGGGAGACTTCACTCAATTCTCTTTGATAGGAATTAACCTATTTGTAAGAGGAAATAAAATTGAAGATAACAACAAAAGCAGGAAGTAAAAAATGTATTTTTTAAAATATTACCTTTTAACAAAGATGGCTTCATAATTTAAAGAAAAAAAAAAACAAAGCCACTATTTATGGTATTTGCATGAAGTTAAAACTCTCAGTATGTTTCGTCTGAGAGAAAATATTTATTGGTCAAGTCATTTGTGCCATATCACTTTAAATAACTCTTTAAAAAAAAATGTAAGACTGAACATCAGAAACCGCTATTATAAAACTACTAACATTTGACCTAGTTTCTAATTCTAGGGAATTGAAATTAAGGGCCTTGGGTACCAATTCCAGTTTTGCCACTTGTCGTGTGAACTGCAAGTCATGTGAATTTCTGTGGCCTCAATTTCCCCATGTGTAAAATTATAACAATATCTTCTTCACCTAATTCACAACACTGCTGTTATGATAAAATTCGGTAATGGTTGTGAATCTGTGCAAACACTACACGAGTGAAAAATATTCTTATCTGACGGTCACCTTAACATCCTCCCTATCTTGGGTATTAAAAACGTTATGGTCATAAGTATCTATAATAAGGCTCCGTAGCTGACTACGAAATTCTCCTCGTGACTTTCATAGTTTAGATTCTATTTTGACGTGATAAATGAACATAAGTAACTTTTATTGTGTGCATTATTTGTGGGAATGGTTTTAACACGTTAAGTATAGCCATCTTTCCCAGCATAACACAAGGATTACCAAACCCAGAAGTGCTATCTTTAAAGATGGGATGATTTCATTTGGAGATTTGAGTTTGGTTTTATTGCTGAGATTAACAAATGTTGCTGTTTAAAACGAAACTGTTTTCTTTCCAGCACTTCATATTTTTGCTTGGTTAAAGAAACAGCAGTAACGTGATTAGATGTCAGTAATTAAATATCTTTGTAGAACAGTGTCTTAATAGCATATATTTAGAACACAGCCATACCAAAAACATTCAATTACATAGAAACAGCTTTAATATTTAACAGCTTGTTTCTTAACTACCTACCTTCTGGTGAGCTGATGTTGACTATGTATAAAAGAAAGCAAGCAGCTTAGTGTCAAATTAAGAGAAGTGGAATATATTATAATGGAAATTTTTATGCTTTGCTATTCTCACATTCAGCCAAGTATAATGTTTTTATTTAATAAATTTAAATCTCAATTTATCTCTTATTTTTAGTAACAGGAGCCTTCAATTTTCTCTAAGGAAAATAAAAGTTCATCCAAGAACCAAAGAAAGAAAAAAAAAAGTCACTCTGCTTAAGCATCATGGGAAAATAATCATGTATAAAAAGCAACAGACAGCAGCCCAGGCCCCATCCACCAAATTCCCAGAAAATAAAACGTTCAAACCACTGGAAAGGCATCTCGGGAAGGGGAGAAGGCAGTTTCTGGCAGGAGCCTCTGTTTCTCTCCTACCTGATGTTAAGTGCGAGTCTGTAAACAGATGGAATTACCCCTAATCCATTTACGTTGCACTTTGTTTTTGAAGCTAACTCAGTTTGTTCTCTAAATTTGGATTTTGAGTCCAGTTTCACGACTCATTACTAGATGTCGGGGTTCAGTTCTTTTTACTAAAAAATAATGCGTTATCCATTCACTACAGTAAGTAGAATGATCTTCGACAATCGGGGAGGGTAGGGATGTGGCTCATACTATTTCTAGGTCCCCACAGCGATAATGAGCAGGAGGGTAGAGAGCAAGATGGCCGTCCATCAAGTATGGACTCGTTTCTCTGGTCGGGTCCAACAAACCAGTTTGTCAGACAGTCTGGACATAGGTGAGTCTGAAGTCAAACACAGCAGTTCCACGGTTAGTGCCACCACATACTCCCTGTGTGGCCCCAGGCAAGTTGCCAGCTTCCCAAACCATAGTCTTTTCCCTATGAAATGAGAGCTAATGCGAGTACCTACTTTCTGAAATGTCAGAATGTTTAAGCCTAGCATGCAATTAGTACTCAATAGATATTAGGAGAACGAAGGTGAAAAATCAAGCGAAGGGGACATATTATAGAGAGAGAGACAGCGCCTGTCTGGATTAGAGCAAATCTTTTTGGGGAGAGGTGGGTAAGAGGGAGATGTAGGGAGAGGTGAATTTTATAGAAGAGCAAATGAGATAATACCTCACCAGCAGGTTCTGCTCCCCTCGTATTGGTTACCCCAGAATGAGACAGTTTTGACAAGTACAGTGGACTTCCTCTTGACCTTTGATCCTTAAAACATTGTTCAGGGCTTCTGGCCTTTTGCGCTTAATTATGACAATGACAATGGGTGTAGGTCTGGAACAGACCACATCGTTTGCATATGAACAACTGGGCACAATCCTGATCACTCTGGTTATAAGTGAGTGCTTGGTAAATATTGGTTGCTTCCTGAGAATCTTGTAGCTACTCACCACCATTGTCTGTGGGGCATCGTGTACCTAGTATGGAGATGGAGAAGGCCAGAGGGGCAGCTCTCATGACTTCTAGAGACTGAGGACACTGAGGCCCCCAGTGACACGGGGCTGAGCAACTCTGCTTTGTGAAGGCAGCAGCTTGTCAGCGGGAAAACGCAGCCAGAAGCTGCTCCCCACTGTCCTTCTGCTGTATTCTCGACCCAAGATCATAATCGATATCCTTTAGCATTGAATGGCCTATCGATGGCTGAAATGGAAAAAGAAATACTTTACTTCTGCTATGTCTTTCGAGATCTCCGGAGGAAGGGATTTTGATAAAGAAGATCGTAAACATTCTCCGTGCGGTGGAGCGAGGAGGGGACAAACACTGGTCTCGTTCAGTCTTTTAGAAAAGAGAACTAAGACTGTGCTGGAGAAGCAATATTTCCATGAAATCCTCCCTGATTATTTCTGCCAGGGGCTGCCCAGTTGAAAAGCCACACTATTTTAAAAAAAGAAAAAAGTGCCAGTATTGCTGTGAATAATGTGGATATGCACAGGGCAAAGCACGAGAGAATAAGTCCGAGAGATAGCATTAAAATGCCTTTTCATATTCGACATAGAAGAAGCCTTATCTTCCAAACAAAAAAAAAAAAAAAAAAAAAGGTTTGATGAATATATGAGCTGCTAAGATGCTGAGATATCTAAGATTCTATCTTGGAGGGAAAAGGAATGATTTCATTATGTTGTTTTGAAAAGAAACCTACAGAGAATGAAGAGGAGGTGTCCCCACTTAAAGACTGGAGAGTGTGATATCCCATTCTGAGGTGTTTTCTGTCACCAACCATAATAGCATCCCAGGTATCTATAGGATTCGACACAAACCGAACAGCAGAGAAAGCACTATTTTTTTTTTTTAACCTCTGGATCAAAAACAATGGACAGAGTGAGGATGTGCCCTCCATCACAGACAAAGCGGTTAGTAATTACTTCAAAGTCATGTGGGTCAAAGAGCACTGAAGGAAGAGATCACTCATGACTTTGCATGTATAGTACAGCTGTGAAACAGCTATCAACCTAGATGAAGCTTCCCTCATTCATATTGAAATAATTTCAATCCGACTCACTGGAAATAATTAAGTAAAAACAATTGGCCCCACAAAGAAAAATCAGTTGAGTGAAATGGGCCCTGTTGAGGAATCTTTTCCCACTCTAATACCTTAAAATCACCCTAGTCCAGGGTTTCTCACTATTCACATTTGGGCCAGATACTTGTTTGTTGTGGGGATCTGTTTGGCAGCTTCCCTGGCATCTAATCTCTAGATGCTGGTAGCAACCCCACCCACATTGTGACAACCAAAAACGTCTGCAGACAGTGCCAAATGTTCCCAGGGCAGGAGGCAGAGGGCATGCAAGATCTTGCAAGTAGGGCATGCAAGTAGTTCTCACCCCCAGTTGAGAACTACTGCCCTAAACCTTGTCTTGCTTTTCATTGATTCGTAGTCTGTTCTCTACTCAGATGCCCCATAAGACTCATGTGACATCATCACCGACCTCTCAAATATCTCAGGCTTCACCTTCACACGTGCTAATCTATCCTTACCTTAACAACTCACCCTTAATTTCCCCTTAGACGGTCCTTGCACAGACCGCTCCGCTTTCTTAGGCACTGGGCTGACAGCTCCAGCAGATTGCTGTAAGGCCTCTAGAGAGCACTTTTTGAGAAGTTGGTGAGGCCTGGGTTCAAGTCCTGCCTCTGCCACTTAGAAGCTGATCGACATTTACGCAAGTCATTTTTCTTTCTCGGTGTTGGCTTCTTAACACACTCACACGCAAAATGAGAACGTTCATATTTACCCTACAGCAAAGTTGCTGATTAAATGATATTATATGCAAAGCATCTGGAGGTACTTATTTCCTGACGACTTATAAAGTTGGAAATATATTGCTTAGACACAAAGAAATAATTTGCGTGGAATAACAGAAGGCTGGTTGGAGCTGAAATAGTTTTTGATCAGCTAGGGCAAGAATCAGAATGAGCAGCACTGGGAATGACGGTGTGGTCTGGACAGACATGAACACAGGTGAGTACAGATCACCTGGGCATTTGCAGGCAGCTTAATGGTTATGATGAGCAAGCAGGGCCAGGAAACAGAAAATATGGGGAAAAAAATGGAAACAAAAATAGCTGGTATTGAGAGAAAACACTACCTGTGCCTAAAATAGACACAAATGCATCAACGGATATAATTGCGATCAATCCTTTTTTCTGTTTCTTTGTGTTTGGCTAGCCAACTATTTTCATCTCATTGATGTTCTAGCTAATTTGAAAGTGGTCCCCTGTTTGTAAAAGAACATCCTATTTCCTTTAGATTAATGTTTACCTGCTCGGTGTTTCTGTCATCGGTTCATCACTTCAAAATCAAAACAAATTCTGAATGAAATATGACAGTTCTATAGCACCTATTTTTGTGACAGTACAAAAAAAAGTACCTGAAAATGCCTTAGTTGCATATTAAGTCATTCTAGTCTATAATTTTAAAGGGAAGTATTAAAAACCCAACCAGTTTAGAGAATTAAGATTTCAGAAAAATAGTACAAAATGCATTACATTGTTAAATCCATTTGTAAAGTGGATTTATGTCTAGAATAATACACGAATGATAATTAGGTAAGGATTAAAGATAAATGCCTTTATAATTTTCCTTTTACGTCTAATATTAGTATAAAACTTCATTGTTGCTTAATTAGGGGCTGAGCTGGCAGGCCAATATATGCTTTTATATAACAATGGTCATGCGAGAAATTATTGTATAGCATCAAAATAATAGAGCAGTAGTTGGCAATTGCATTTTTCTATCAGATGCGTTTCTAATAGGTTTATGCAATCACTATTACACCAAGCCTTGGTGTGGAGTATCAGGAAAATTAAAACAGACAGGCACTTTTTTAAGGCATTTGGTACAATTTGGTTCGACTTAATAGGGTCTTTCTCTGGGAGTCTGAATAGAAGTATAAGCAGTTCCACCAAAATTTTCAGATCTTGTGTTAGAAATGCCAGCTCTTTTTGATCATGTTTATGACGGGGGCCTTTAATATGACTTGGATGGGAGGTTGGGCTCCTGTGAGGTAGTCTCTTCTTTCTCTACACACTTAAATGTTCCTCTGCTGTCATTTTGGTTTAAACTAATGTGCATCTGGTAATAACTCACCGAATCATGAGATTCCACAAGCCAGTGTTCTGTGCACGTCTGTTCAGCCACGTCTCTGATTCGGCTGCTACGTATGGCTCTCTCCGCATCCATTTTGAGGTGTCATGTATGTGATCTCGGTTATATCCAGTTTTATCACTCTGTTTTCAAACAACTACAAAAGAAACCTTGCCTCTATAAAAATTACGAGTGGAGACAACTGATTTTCTATCTAAATAGAAGAGAAATCTTATAAATGTTATTATCAAATGCCACCTCTGTTTTAAATATTAAAAAAAAACAAAACAAAACAAAAAACGATGAATTTCACTTTGATTGCAGTATCTGTTCCATTTTTGAAAACAGTTTAGGGTGCATATCCAGACTGTGAAACTTTCCATAGCAACAAGATGTAAGAAAGGATATGGCTTTCTTTTACATTTTCTAGGGG